GAAGCACTATAATACCAAATGACAAGTCATATGCCATGCAAAATACAGTATTACTTAAAAGTGAAGAACCACCAAATATCAAGTCGGGTAAAATACATTAAAATGTAGTCCATCTCTATTAGGCTAGAGGAGTTTTAGTTTCTGGCTCTGGTTCTAAGGTAGAATATCCAGGAGGTGGAGTATGTCGTCTTGTACCACTTGCGACCTCTTGGAAGCCAGATGTATACTGTTGCTGCAGTGGTTGCCCGGCAACTGGCACCATACCAGGTTGTTGTTGAGCATAGGCAAACTGTTGTGGAGATCCTATAGGATTGACTACAACAGGAGCCATGGACTGAAATTGTTGGCCTCCTAAGAAAAAAAAATAATATTATAATACAGTACATGTACATCTGTATAATATATTACATATATATATTATATCAGTAACAGCCAATGAAAATATAACAACTACTGTAAAATACTTTATTTCCGCTTGGAATATATTTTCGCTATTTTCGATGAAGGACTGATTCAGTGAAAATAAAATCCAGCGAATATACCTTTTTTCCTATATTTCACAATCAACTCATCAAAAATCAGTGAAAATAAATTCTATACAAAACACCCGAAAAAATGTATTCGGGCGAAAATAAAGTATTTTACCATAGACCTATGATTTTACAGAACATAATCAGGTTGTGGTGTGTGACGCACATGGAAACCAATCACACAACAGGACCAAATGGAAATCATTTTTTTTATTTGCTCCACGTCTTGATCAAAAATGTTAATTGAGAATGCTTCCTTTCAGAAAAATTCAAAGTAGTGTTTTTTTGTTGTTGTTCTTTTCTGGAATCAATTACAATATATAGCATTTATGCATCTTGCAAACAATCGTCATGGAAACTTACCTTGTTGAGTAATAACTTGTGCACCAGGAGGCATCATATAGACTGTGGCTTGTTGTGGCACGCCATATGGTTGCCCGGCAACGTAATACATCTAAAATTTTGCAAAAATAGGTATTATTTATAATTCTATATATATTGCTACAAAATCAATATACACAAATGATTGCTGAGTTTTGTTAATACGATTATTATTGATGTTCCAATGATCAACAGCCATAACAACAAAAACATCATGTGTTTTGGGCATCTTAAATTGGAGTATAATTTGGCACCATGTTTTATTTGTTTATGCAATCCATTACTACCACGTTCTTTTGCAGCATTTAATACTCACCATTGGTTGGTTTCTCTGTGAACAGCAAAGTGGTTGACAACACAGCGAGGCTTGGATGATCGCAGAGATGAATTCTATGATCGCTATGACGAGCAGAACGGCATCTATACCTGTACATGTGTACTGGTAATGAAAAATAGTTCAAGATTCAGTGGAAGCAACATCTCATAGACGTTTATGCATACTACAGCAAATATACATGTACGACACTGGTAATCACTAAGCAACATGTCTGACATGGGACCCATAAGACATTTCATATGTTTTTAAAATTTGATCTGACTGCTGTGCGAACATAAAATTCGGTGTGTGCTGTGTGATCACTGCATTCAGTGTGTGATGTGGTGCTTCAATGGCTACAATAAAAATTAATTACTTCCCTAATTTAGTTATTTAATTCCATTAGTTAACATAACCTAATTAATCAATTATATGCGGTTTAATTTCAAGTTTTTGTTGATGGATGATAATTCTAAAGTGGGCTTTGGACTAAGGATACACTGCATCATGAAAATAACTTTCTTACCCCCCATGGCCTTCCGTCCTTTCATCAAATGGCTTCTACGGCCAATGAAAGAGCCTTCTTTGCATTTAAATAAAGCACAAGGACTTTCGGGGGGAACTGTTTTATAAATATTTTTTTAATTACCATGCCTTCATGCAATTGAACGTAATATTTTCTTAAAAAACCCAGTGAAATTTTCACTGCTACACAACTTGGGGGAATCTGTTTTTCACAAAATTCCATTATTATAAGTATACTCATAATTTTTCTACATAATTTTCTTCTAATTTTAGTGTATGAATTGGTACTTACATCATGTCCATATGTACAGTCATAATGTCCATATTTGTTGTAGCTACACTCTTCAAGTATGTATGTATTCTCGTGTGCTACGGTAACAGCAGCAGATATGACAAATATCGGACCACTTAGTGTAGCTGCCACAATACACATAACCATACTTGTAATAATCTGTCAACATACAAATAACACTATCCAAAAAATAATCCAGGTCAGATGTGTCAACCCAGAGTACATTTATTTTCACAGACATTTAATTTAACTATTTCAATGTTTTGAGCATATTCTCTGTATTATGCACAAACAGCATTTGTGAATTTCATGAATTTGTCAAGAAAACAATAAGATTTATTGTTATTTTACATATTCACATGGATTTAATTTAGCAGATTTTACTCATCAGCCAAAATAGGAAAATTAAAATCCAGTGAATAATGAATGCATTTACAGTAACGATAATGCTATCTGAGGGTCAACAAAGCTCTGTATATCAACAAACATAAACAAAACGAATAAAACAAATATTTTGTTAATTAGACTATGCACTGCAAGATCCTGCCCCGTTTCCAATGACAACATCCAGAAATTCTTAATTTCCCAAGTATGTTTCATTACACTTTTTATATATAATTTGT